TAATTGTCAATTCAAATCTCAATGTTGTAGAGGTAGTAAAGGTATTAGCAGTAATCGGAGAGATTAGGATTGGAAGATATTGTTCAAGAAGTAGAATCTAGTGAAATAAGCTCAAAAAGAGAAATATCAAGATGATGAGGAACTCTAAAGGTTAGGATTTGAGAGAACACAAAGAATGAATGCACATGTGTCATTGCAAACTGTTTTGGACCATGTCATTCAGGGTCTCTAACCACCGATTACTGTCATCTCGCGGGCCCCAACCAGTTAGTCGACACTTACCAACATGACTCATTCCAGTTGTCAGTGACTCTAAAATTCTCTTGATGAAATCTCACTAAACAGCTTAATTTGATTAATTCTTGAGAATGAAAGTAAATTTTAGATTGTTTTGTTTATGGCGAGTAAATTATGCTCTATGCAATACCTGGAACTTCTGTGTTCAATAACTAGTTTTTTCTTTGATGTACATATCCGTACAGTTGTAGGGGTTCGTGTTGAGGTTGACTATGAACACGTCTACCAACCAATTACGTTTGAGTTATGATAATTAATGTTTATATTCAACCTACCGCATTTTCTTCGTAAAAGTGAAATCACTACAGCAGCCCCCTCTAGAAAGTATGAACACTTTTGATACGTAGCGGTTTCGTTTGTGTGACTGATCGGCAAGCGCGCGATTGTAGGATTTAAAGGTTATTGAACAGGAAGCGATTGTTGATCATTGAGTTGTCACTGAAGGACTTTTACGTAGAACAGTACCAGGAGTAACGTGTCATTTTTGCTGCTCAGGTTGGCGTGCCACACCAGAGTGGTTTGTATCCATAATCTGAAGATGGCGTTCATGGAGGCCTGGACCAGAAAACGCTGCAGACTTAGGACGAAACCACGTTGAGCTAAGAAACCAGAAGCCCCCATAATAAACAGGTTCGGGATCGTACGTATGCTAGACGTAGTCGGGACCAGAATGTCCACTGGGTACGTTGACAAGGGCGTGGATGATCAGGCTGGCTGTTGCCAAGTTTGGTTAATATTTCACCAATCGCGTTTTCTTCGTGCAAGTAAAATCACTACACAATACTCTCTCTTATTTAAGACAAACTCATAAGATTGCTCTACGTAATTAAATTCTTTTACTGACAGAAATATGCTTCCGATCATTGATCAATGTATTTATGTTGTCTGATTATCCATATAATCATTCAAGGCTCGATGCCTGCTCGTGAGATCATGGATATGCAGTGCTGAGGGGTCCCATACTAGGACGGAGCAGTTGTTCAGTGCTTTCAGGTTTTCCCTGGTAGTCTTGAAATTGGTCAATTCATGATTTCGATAAGCGTACATTACTTCGCGATTTTTCAAATCATTGTCAACAGTTTAATAACATTATTAAGTTTCCATTGTCTATTTCTTCTTCCCTAATGACTTCAAATAATGACAAAAGAACTATTACAAATGCAGAAATTCGTTTGTTGTGGAACAATTAGTTCATCTATTCATATATATACTCGTTAGAGTCTTTAAAACCTTTTGAAGGGAGGAATTACGTGCGAATTTTAACAGAGTAAAATTTCCTTGAGAACAATCGATCACAAATTTTACGAAGTCTCTCTGAATCTAGGTTGTGAATCTGATTTACAAACCAGCTTTCACACAATGCTTCATTCATTGAATAAAACTTAAAAATCTTTTGTATCGATCATCAAGTGGTAGCATTTCTGACTGTTAGCATTGAATGGAATGCTGTTGAGTGGCTCTGAATCTGACAAGATTATTTACCAAATGATGTAAATAATTCTATAGGATGGATTTCGTATATCGGTAAACAGGTTGATGTATTCTAATTCTAGTCTTCACCCCTTATTCTCTTGATTATTCTTAAGTGATTCATGCATTGTAACACGAGTTACTTGAATTATTTTAATGAAGTCCCCTTTATTCGAAGGAATGGTCTAACCACAAAGAGTTTATTTCCATTCTAGACAGAGTTATCAGCATATAATTCAAAATGTTTTGTCAAAATTTCACCACATGGGAATGATAGCTGTCATGCAATTAGCTCAAAAAACTTTATCTGTAGCTGGATCCCTAATAACTAAGCGATGGGGTGTAAATGCTCACAAAATCAAAAATGCCACTACTGAGAACCAGTGGTTATAAGATATTATAGTGAGTTGATATAATATATTTCATTGTGGGATTACTAAGTTAGATCCTGATAAACCCAGAAGTCAAAGAAAAGACTGTTCTGGAAGAAGAGGTATATTAATCGCTGGCCTTGTGATATCGAAAAAATATCAAGTCCAGAATACATGATTGGCTAACAACCACCGAGGAGAAAAACGGAATGGGAAAGACACGCTTAGCTTGCGAAAGATAGTCTTTAGTACAGTTAAACAAAAGGAGTACAATATAACAATTATTGTCAGAATTAAGTACAATAATAAATGTTTATATTTCAGCAATTGTGTTATCTTCGTAAAAGTATACCACTACAATATAATTTACACTGTGATTTTTCTACAGTTCCAATGTATGCGAGTTTACTTGATGGAGCCGTATTACGTAAAATTATTCAGTAAAGAAAATGTTGATTTCCCCGTAGTGTGCACCAATGTTTCAAATCCACAGGACTTGTCCCAGCCTTTAAACAAATTCATTAATCCATTCGTTTCGAGTCACTCTTTCAGTCTAATGACTATGGATAGATCAACTAGCCAGAGCTAATGTTTTAGAGCATTAATTCTTCTGGTAATGAAGGTTTGAAACGAATAGGATACTTTTCTACAACTTCCAATATCAGACTCATCAGCAGTGCGCAGCAACGGCCACTCGAGGGAAATAGAAGTCGGGGACTTTAGTCTTACATGCAAACGCTAAGCCTGTTTAGCACTGAGTCTGTAGTCTAACATTGATCGACTCATGACATGAATCAAAATCAAGAATCTCCACTACCGTCATGAGACAGTTGTCAAATGGTTTCAGTTTTCCACTCATGTTCTAACGTTTCTGGGTTCATAATTTCAACTCAATTCATGTGTGCTCCAAAACGTGTTCAATACTAATGGTAGTAAGTCCACTTATCTTGTTTAGACTATTTATCATATAGCTTATAAAGACTCCAATTTTAGGATGAAAACACGATTGGCTAAGGTGAACAATTCATTATTATAACCAATTGTGCTAGTGTTTGTTTTATTCGTACTTTTGTACGACACTTTCCTTCTGCGCGGTTGCCGTCTTCCTTTTGCTACTCTATACCTATAGCCCGTTTTCTCATACATGATTTCGGTATTCTTTGGATGCCACGAAATCGCTAGCAAATATATCGTTTCATCTGGACTATCCCTTCTCTCCTGTCTTTAATTCACAGCAGGATAACGCTTGAGACCCGAGAAATTGGTTTTTAGACGTGTTCATGTCAACCTTGATTCGACCAACCACAGTAACTCACTTCATGAACGCGGATAATCTGACAGAAGCACACGGTAGCGATAAGGCCAAAGGGGATATTCCTCTTGGACACAGACGACAAGTTTTTACCAGTGGACACAAATCGCAGCCTCACTTCATAAAAGGTTTTTAACTGACGTCAGCAACGGATTTTTAAGTCTTTGAGAATTTCAGTCACTCTAAATTTCCAGATTCATACAGGAGTGTTTCTATAGATAACTAATAGCCTCACAAGCTTTTAATCTGTACATTCACTGTCATTTTTGGTTACTATTTACACAATACTATCTAGTATCGTCACACTTCTATTACAATAACGGCTCGTCCGATTACATATCCTTATGCATTCGATATTTATTACATTGAACATATACATATACAATCGTACAGCTTCATAACAAAATCGTTTGCAAGAGATCTCTTCGCTTAAATTGGTGTTTTTAATGTTTAAATGGGGATTACAAAAGTATAAATGCTGATACGTAGCTAAGGTAATGGAGTATCTAAATAATGTTTGTCCTACTTCACATTAAATGCTTCCTTTACTAGTGTAAACCTGTTTCCCAGTGCCACAGTTCATCACATAATGCATTTAATTCCTAATCATAATCTACAGTATCGTAAAGGATAATTCCATTTCGGAGACCACTGTTCCCTTGAGTCCTTCTTATCCAATAAATATACTTTCATTGAGGCTTTTCATAAAGTACAGTACTCATCACTACTAACTAATTTAGGGCACTAGTGATAACTGTCCAATTCCATGCTTGGATTTCATCCGTTCCTAAAAGACTGAACAGAGATAGTGAAAATATGAAAGCACTTCTTTTAGATATCACGTCTCACGAATAGTCACGTAGCTTTAAAGATATTAATACATGAATTTCTACCTTTCCATACACTACAAGAAACCCATAATGTGACATACGGGATAACCCTCTAAAAACGATTATGGGGTAATTATAATAATGTCTTCTAACAAAACTGATAACTTTATTTCAATCATTGTATTACCTGAATATATAATATTCAATTATTTTAACGACGAACTCAACATTCTCATCTCATCAAGTTCCAACTTCTTGTAGAGCACAGTGGCTCTGATGACTACCTGGTGACGTACAGAAATTTCAAGAATCAGGCGCAAAGAAATCAACATTTTATACTAGCTTCTGAAAAAGATGTTGGATAACTTGGAGATAGTATGACAAGATGCCTTTGGATATGATACAAGTACATCTTATTACCAAATGACCTTAAGTATTTTAAACCGTACTGAAGACAGTTTAGGATTGGTTTTCTTTTATGCCATCAAATAAGGTCCGATAATGATGATCGAACAAACAAATTTCGAGATTTCGTATCCCCTGGTGAATGGATCGCCCGAACAGAAAAAGTAATGATTGGTTTTTCGGAGCATGACCTCAGGGAGAGCCGTAAAGCACGTATCACAAAAACTGCAATCAATGGTTGTACAGCAACTACCATTGGAGACTGAAAACGAATTTCGTTTAAATTGTCCACGGTTCATTAACTCTTGTTACCAGCGCTCAGTGTAATTACTCGGACACCAGGTAGGTGAATGCTCTTAGTATCTAATTTTTTTCACATTAAGGGTTGCATTTTCAAAAATGTTACTAAGCTTTATCAGTTATTTATGACTTTTTTCGATCGCTTACACTTTAGTTCTCTCGCATAATCTTAACTACTAATTAATAAACTAAATTATTTACTTAGTTCAAAAATCTTAATAGCATTAGACTTTTCTCCTTATTACTTTCCACATTTCAACTAAACGCTCTCCGGCCTGGTAATGTGATAGATGTGATATAAACCCTACTCGCCTGAAATAGACATACTCATTCAAATCACGGCACATACAATCTCACAATTAACTGCCAACTGACTAGAATTAGGCAATCGAATGGTTAACCACACATTCGGTGGACACTACCAAACACCTGAAACGGTATCGAAAGAACAGGAATCGAGCGCAAAGGAATCAATTGGTTTGTACTAGCTCGTGAAAAGGATTTTGGATGTATCGGATACCGGTATTTTAAATCTAGCTGTATTGTTATGAAATGTTGATTAGCATAATATCAAATTTCGTGAATTAGAAGCTAGTGAGTTCCATGAAAGGAAATACGTCAATCTACCTGTACTTTCGAAAAAAATCACTTTATTCAAAAGAGTTGGGTTTCCCGAATCTAGTAGTTGATTCGGATTCGTGTGCTTTGAGGACAGAAGGCCTTGTGGCTTGTGTTTTTTCTCTAGCAAGCTTTCAGATCGCTGGTATTCTTTTAAACGACCTAATAGATCCTGACACTATGTTTTTGGGCTACAGGTTTCAGTTGATAAATGGGTGTGGAATACCCTATTCTACTGGTATTTTGTTCGTCCCTGGCTTTTGTAATCACCTGATACGCCTTTCAATTTTTTTGTTTTAGTAAGAAGGAAAATGGAGAACATATTAGATCTCAAGTCACTGATTAGTATTCTGTACATCAAAATTAGGTCACCTCTTCATATATATCATAGGACAGTAAAGAGTTCCGATTTTTTTTACCTTCTCTGTTTATGATAAACCTCTGAGTTTTGGAATTGCACAGGTTGTTTCCCTGTTTTTTCAAAGATATTGGAGTCGCTTTCCAAACAGGCTTGCAGCCTTAGAGCAACTTTCAAGTTTGGATCTCACTAAGGTTGTGTACACCGTTGTGAATATACCGGTATCTACCTTGGTAAATGTCCATCTTAAAGCTCATAAGATTCCAGACCTCTTAGCGGAAACCGTACGGCAGTGAGCTGTGGTCTTAAAGTTATGGCTTAATAATACCTCAAGATCATTGTGGGATCGAACTACAAGCTTCGAATCCTCCCAAACTCTGTACCTATTTTTCCTTATATCACTAATATGCATGTGGACACTTGGACGCGTTGATAGAGACTAGCCATGTTTTAGACTGGCTGAAAAGAACGTCCAAGTCAGCTAGAAGAGCACTTGTGTCTACATCCCCCGCTATTTCTCCCCAAATGTTCACGTAACCAGCATAAAGTGGCATCGGTAACTTAACGATACTCAGGAGTTCATTTATTTATTGTATACAAGTAAAGGGGCTACAATCCATCCTTGAGGTTCCCCACTAAGAATTGGTTTCCAGGATAGGCTTTTAAGATTTACCATTACTTTTTGTCTTCAAATTACCGATAAATCTCTGATCCACTTAGGAAGGGGTCTAGTGATTCCTAAATTTTCCAACTTCTAAGAGAAGTCTATTGTTCTGCACCCTATCGAATACTTTGCTGAAATCTACATAGACAATACTCACTCTAGGCCGCGTTGATAGGCACCGGCTATGTCTTAGGCCAGTTAACCAGAACGTCTTAGTCAGCTTAAAATGCGCTTGTGTCTGCATTTGTCGCTATTTCTCACCGAATTTTCACGTCATCAGCATAAATTAGCATCGGTAACTTAACGATACTTGGGAGTTCATTCATGTATAGTATTAATAGTAAAGGGCCTAGAGCCGATTTTTGGTTTCCAGGAAGAGTGTTGAGAATTTGCTGCCATTTTTCGTCTTCGAACTACCAAGAAATCTGTGATCCACTTAGAAAGGGGTTTAAAAATTGACATGATCACCGTGCGTGATGGTCAGATCACAGACAGATAAGCTTTGAATGTCAAATCTGATGGGATCTCTAATGCGTTGGGATAAAGCATTACTGCGATTCCTAACAGCTTGTAATCAAACAATATGTGTGATGACTGTGCTTCAAAATTTTCCCAGTGTATAGGGTGGGTGCATTAAAGTCACCTACTATGAGGCTTTTACACTTGTTCGACTAGGACTCAAGCTAGTTTAAGATGAGATCACTTACTATACATTCGGGACTGTGGTGTCCTGTCCTTCGCATTGCAGTAGGCAGCGCGCAAGTTCACATGAGCCGGGGTCATGTGTTGCTAGTTAAACTTTTCTCCTAAAATACGTAATGTCAGCACATTCTCTTGACTTATTTAAGGCGAGATTGGATCTGCAAGGTACCATCAATTGCAAGATTAACATGGCCGTTTGACCTCTTATCCTTACTATTTAGGAATGAGAGTTATTTTCATTCACTGTATTGTTTATTATTTTTAGCTTCACATATTTATCGGACCTGATCTTTAATCACAGAATTTTTGTGTGATGAATTAGTTCTACTACAATGTACTCAGGACACAATTCCCGTCTAAAATATAATGAGCCGAGTGCTTGTGAGGTGTCAAACACACCACACCATTCTTGGAAAAACTTGTACAAAATTGAAGGTGATCCTATTGGACGGTATGTTAAATTCTGAACTGACACTTTGTGTAGTGGGTATGCTGGGAAAGTTTACAGAGTTACTACTAACAACGCGGAGCTACTGGATCCTTTAACAGCGACAAAATCCGAATTCACCACAGCAATGTATTCAAAAGGTGCATATATTGAGCCCGGGGAATACTTAGCCTGCAAGGTGATTCGCAGATTTCGCAGAGGAAGGGACACTATTGCAAAAATTACCTCTGAAGTAGAAGCTATGGCCATTTTGCAAAGGGATCCTTTGAATACGTGTTTGAACTCATCTGAAATGCCTTCTGCACCTTGTAAAAGAGCTCCTCCCAAATCAGCCTCACCTAAACTATTTGCAGTTTATAAAGACTCAATGGAAGTTGCCATTGTCATGGAGTAGTAAGTTTTTGTCATAATTAAATGTTTATACGTATAAAAACTATGAATCAATCATTGTTAGACCACCATCAGAAACCTAGAAGCACTGGACAGCAGTTTCGTCCTGTTACGGAACTCATCAGTAGAGCGTGTCCACGACTCATGCTACTCGCAGGATCCGAACACAGGACTCCTGGTCTTATGAGCGAACGCCTAACCTCTGGACCAATTGGCCGGTATCCAATGTTGTTAATGTCTAACTATGATCAACCTAGCGATGTTGCGGAACCTCACCCATTTTTAATCGGTATTTACTGCCTATATCCGACAGGGTTGGACTCCACTGGTTACCTCTTGTTACTAGGACTTCGAGAGTCGGATCATTAAGCTAGTCACTAGTGAGCACGTTGGTGGTCATGGTCATTAAATTTTTACTTGCATGAAAATGTGGTGACTGGTTTCGTCGAATTAGTGTTCCAACGAACATAGAACTCACTAACTAGATATTACGTATCGAAAGTATTGCTACATAAATTTATTTGTTATTAGCAATAAATTAGTTTGTAAATTAGGTGGATACATAAATCAAAACGTATAATGAGAATCTCATTCGTCCATTGTAAATTAAGTAACTGTCGAATCAGTTATAAAGAAGTTTGTATAGTTAGAAATTCTGAGTTCTACATTTGTAGCAGCTGTTCAGTAGTTTTCACTAATTCATTGCGTGAATATAGATTTATTGATGGATGGGTCGATTCAGCTAATCAGTAGACTACTATCTAAGTTTTGAGTCACAATAATCAGAGTTTGTTTCGTTTTCGAATTTACATCTAAATATTACATTTTTCTTTTGTATGCACTATAAATATATATTTTATTTTGAAGTGCCAATGGTGGGTCGTTGTACAATTTGTGTGAATCAGCTTATCCGTATGACTTTACTGTTAGTTCCAGCAGTTCTGCTTGTGGTGATTCGTCCATCCCTGATTCTAGTATTTCTGATTCACATACAACAGTCCCACAGTTGGGAAATCCTGAATCATTTTATGGATTGCCTGAATCGTATGTACGTCAGCTGTTAATTGGCATTCTTGAAGCTTTGGTCTACATGCATGACGTACTTAAAATGGTTCACCTAGATGTCAAGGTATGTTCGAAAAAACATTTGAATAAACAATTATGTTAGTTGTAAATGCCTATAGCTTTGATAATAACTAGGATATATTTCATGTTTTCAACGAATATATAATCTTGTTTTGACTCCATAGTTATTAGCGGTAGGGTCAGATGATTTTAAGTGATATCGTGAATCCGTCGAATATAGATATGTAAAATATTGGGTTCCGGCTCAGTAGTCTACTAGCTAAGTACTCTCTGTGAGACGCAGAGGTTTTTTGTTAGAGCCGCGGCAAAGGTTGTAGATAGTCACAAGTGAGGAGTCGGATAGTGAAACAAACAACCTATCCAGTGATTCTTGGTCATTAGTATGCTTCAACTTGTATCAATCCGGGGTGGAAACTATCTATAGATTGAACTAATCTCCACAAAACACTTCGTCAAAATGTTTATTGAATACTTCAGTTTGCTATATGAACCTTATTTTATTGCAAAAACTGATTGACGTGATAATTGTGTGAATTAAAGAGAATGGCCAAGGCTAAAGTAATCGTGTTTACTTATTTCTAGTTGAAAGTCTATTTGCTGAGATATAGAGCCCTTTGTTGTGCCTTTTTAATACACTAATTTTATTCTATTGATAGAGTGGATTCACTAACTGTTGTACATTAGATTTTGTCAGTTATTGATCGGTAATTGATTATTTTACTGATTAATCACAATCTCGCAACACGTCTTACTCAAATGGGAGAAGATATCCCTCATTAAGTTATTGAAACGAATTTGGTTCCTAATGCCTTGTTACAGCTGAGATTAGGATAGCTCGTTATCCCACTCAAAATGCTCTCATATATTGCCTTACGTGTTTAGCCACTGTCAAAGAAGTCCTATTCACGGCCTTCTCACCACCGGTATGTTGTTTACGAAGTTGGAGGAATGAAGGGCGAATTTCCAGCCAGATGCTAAACGGGGTTGGTGGGTATGGAGGATTTACTTAGAACAGTTAGAAAACCCTGATTGCGAACCAATGTTTGTGCAAGAAACAAATGATGTATGAACCTATTGTTAGTCACCGACTACAATACAACCGCATCACTTAACATTACGATTAAACCTGTAGGTCTAATGCTCGGGGAATGATCCCCTAAGCAGATTAGCTGCCTCGGTTAGGGCAGTTGAGCAGTATGACAGACCAAGCGAACATTCAATAATTTGTATGATGCATAAATATTTCGGTGTACCTCTGTGCCGACGTTTATGTGCTTCAATAAATAAATGAAAAGATACGAATACAAACGCACAAATTTAACTTGTCCTAAATAAGACGGGTCTAGTGCTTATTCTGAATTCCAATGTTTGTTATCACTATAATAATAATAATAATAATAATAATAATAATAATAATAATAATAATAATCATGTTTCATAATAATTACAGTGTTTTGTTTTTATATGATCGATAATTTTTTCCATATTTGTTCAAAGTACAAAGAATGAAGTTGAAAAAAATATGTGGATTTTGTTTGTTCGTTCGTTCGTTCGTTCGTTTCTTTACTTTTTTTTACTTATCACTTAACATGATCAAAAATCTATCAATCCCATTTAATAAAGAAATGGAAGTACACACATTCCATTCTAGGTCATTGTGAGAATAAGTCAATTTATTTTTTCTACCCAATGAATAGTATTTATTTATTCTTGAAATATTGTATAGTTTGACCTTTTTGTGATTAAGAAAATTGTTTCAAAACACTTCAACGAATGAAATGTCAACCCAAAAACTAATTTTATGCTCGATACGGAAGTTTTAAAGATTTCGAGTTTAATTCTGCTTGTGGTCTTGGATACGCACTTAGTTGGCCATAAGCAACGTGGAACCTGTTTTCGGGATATTTAAATGTAATGTTACAATGAAACAGTACTAGTTGTAATGCAATTCTTACACAGCATACTTTACTTTTAGAGATAAGTAGTACAACTGCTTTCCACAACACTTCAAATATCTATATCGAATTGTAGCTATGTACCGCGAAATAACCAAGTTAAATCCCTTGACAGCCAGAAGTCAGGAGACCAGTCGTGATTGGAGTTAGAGGTATATTTATTGGTGATCTCGTGATATCGAAAGAATATCAAGATCCAAACAAATGTTACAGGCGAAACTACCGAGGCAACGTGAGCAATGGTAGGGTCACGTAATCATGAAGATAATGGTTTTTGGTATGGATAAACAAAGAAGTACAATAAAACAATCAGTGGTACAATGGGTTACAATAATAAATGTTTATATTAGACAGTATTCTTTACGTTAAGAGATAGGTAGTTCAACTGTATTCTAATGCTGGTAAAGTTTAGATAATTGACAAGTAAAATAGTAAGCTTTATCAAACGGATACATTGTATATAACTGTTTGAAGTTCTATATGTATATAACTTTAAGCAAAATAATACAAGAATACAGTAAATTAATTTCCAACTATTAAATGTAGACAATTAAGTGACTGGTTAAAAGTTACAATCTATTAACATGCTTCAGTTATGTTGTCAATGACTTCCAACCTACCCCTACACCATGCATCATCGCTTGCCGAAGCAGTCTATGGTTATGCACTCGTAATGCATATCCCAACCATTTCAACTGATCTAGAAGTCAATATATATGGGACTTCTCTGATAGTGGTTATACACCCAATCCGGTGGACATTCTGTATCAGTTAGAGCTAAGTCGGTTTACAACTTTTTATAAACTTTATCTGTCTTTCATACAACCAGATCAGGCGAAGAACTTGCCAAATTATGGCTTCGGTGTAATCGACTTACTACTCAGTAGCAGTTGAATCAATAAATACACGTAGATCTGTGGTATTGATTTTATTATTGTTGTTAGCATACAGACATATTTAGTGTAGAGCAGTGGTGTTTAACAGTCACAATTCATGTACTTACTATAAGGCTGTGTTATGCCATATTTGATAAATATTAGTGTCAATGTTATAAAGTAATCATCATTATTTTACCCTCCTACTTATTAATTACTTTTTTTCTTAATTAAAGGCTGAAAATCTTTTACTACGTCAACCGTATCCATCTACAGATGTATTTTTCATAGATTTTCAGCGCAGAGGAGCAGTGATGTTTAACAGTCACAATTCATAAATTTACTATAAGCCTGTTTCATGTTATATTTGATCAATATTATTTTCAATGTTATAAAGTAATCATCCTCATTTTGCTCATTAGCTTACTCACTAATCGTTGTTTTCTTAATTAAAGGCTGAAAATCTTTTACTACGTCAACCGTATCCATCTACAGATGTATTTTTCATAGATTTTGGTTTAGCCACTATATTGACTGAAGGTAAACAACATCGAGAGCTTTCAGGAACTCCTGATTATGTTGGTGAGTAGTGCATTTGTCGTGTGTTTATGTGTGCGTATGTTTGTATTTTCTCTCTCTACACTTTCACGATTATTTAAACGATTATACTGTGTGAATTCTATTTGAGCATTCCGTTAATTAAGACGAAAAAATCTTTAATACTTTTAGTGCTGTTGTTGTATTCTTCTCCTTGAACTAGATTGTTTTTTAATCATTCAACTCTGACTTTTTGTTTCTGGGTGATCCAATGAATGCCTTTTTTGTTATATAGATGTCATACATCAGTAGTCTTGTAGTGTGCCGGCTTAATGCGTGTTCTTACGTTTCGTAATAAGCTCGTTCAGACTACCTTATCCAAATGACGTCTGACGGTTAATAAATCAGAAGATGAATTCCAAGTAGCGTATACGTTTATTGAGGCACACCACAATTAATAACAGCAGACCACAGACAGACCGGGCAGACAGACTAGTGAGCGAATATGCGAATATGCGAATGTGCAAATGTGCGAATGAATTAATAAGATAAAAATGTTCGTATATATACAAAGGAAAATGTCTGAGTCATCGTGGTATTTAAGAGATTAATACTAAAGCGAATAGGATGCATATATGCGTAGGCGTTAAGCAATGCTCAGTCATACTAGCTCATACAAACCAGATAATAAAAAATACCAATTGTACATATAAGTTGTTGCAATACAAATGGCTTGGTTAAATAAATTAATTGAAAGGGCTTAACCAAGTTAGATGTGAGAGAAGTGAAATATATGTGGAGGCACTACAATAGCCCCCTTCCAGCAAACAAGGTTACGAAAATGTCTTTGTTTGCGAGAAAAAAAAATCAAAATTGTCGGAAAACATCAAAAGTTTCGGAAGTTAAAGTTATTCTATTCGCATACGTTCGTGAGGTCGCAAAGCAATAGAAGATCAAACAAAAGTATAGCAATCTTTTAAGGGTAACATCTCGATTTCGAAATACACTAAATGTATCGGAGGCAATAATGGATAAATTAGAATTTCCGACGTACAGATGCGAAGCAAAAAAAAAATGTGTTCGAAATGGTGAGAAGAATTATCAGTTCAAAATTGTAGCTATATATCTTTGCGGCCACCTGACTCTTCGTCCATATTTGGTCGTTGGTGGGCTTCCTTCTGTTTTCTGTGTTGCTGCTTCAGAGGGTTTAAGCTCGCATTTCGGTGATTCAATGGCTTTCGATGGGTTTGCGTTTATTGGCTGTTCTTCGCCTTCAATGAAAGCTGGTTTGACTCTGTCGATGCTAACTACATCCGTTTTTCCAGCTTTATCCACGGTGATAGTTTTATCGGTTCTGTCGATAACTTTAAAAGGACCATCGTAGGTCGGTTGTAAGGGACGTCGCACAAAATCTCTCCTGATAAATACATAGGAGGTATCGCTTAGTTGCTTCGGAATATATGCTCGATGTTGATTCTCCTGCGGAAGCGTTATTCTTATATCGCTCATGTGTGCTTTTAGACGACGTACGTAGTTAGTTATATCAGTTGGAACAATCTTACCTGAGGTGAACAACTCTCCTGGTAGACGTAGGGTAGTTCCGTAAACTAACTCTGCAGGGCAACATCCTATGTCTCTTTTAACCGTCGATCTTAAACTCAACATGACTAATGGAAGTTTGTTGGCCCAGTCATTGTTGTTAATAACAGCTGTAAGAGATGCTTTTAGTTGTCGATGTAATCTCTCTACCATACCATTTGCCATCGGGTGGTAGGAGGTTGTGCGTATACGTTTAATCCCAAGGAGCTCTGTGAGTTGTTGAAAGAGGCGACTTTCAAATTGGGCTCCTCTATCGGTTGTGATATGAGCAGGGACTCCATAATATGAGATCCAATGTTCGACTAAGGTTTTAGCTATGGTCTCTGCTGAAATATCTTTTATGGGCACCGCTACAGGCCATCGCGTGAATCTGTCTATGCAGGTAAAAATATAACTGAAACCATTCGAAATTGGCAGTGGTCCCATAATATCGATATGTATGTGCTCGAATCGGCTGTCTGGGTGACGGAATGGACCTACTGCGGAACTTGTGTGACGATGAACTTTAACTTTCTGGCATTTAATACATGCCTGTGTCCAGTTGCGAACATCTCGGTTCATATTTGGCCAAACAAAACGGTTGCTAATCAGGCTGATCGTTGCCTTAATTCCAGGATGTGATATATCATGCATAGTCTCGAAAACTTTTCGTCTAAACGGCTTCGGAATAAACGGTCGTGGTCTGCCTGTAGAAATATCACAGATTATGTTCACTTTGCCGAACGGAGTTTCTCGAAATACTAAAGAAGTTGTATTGGATGATCTTAGTCTATTTAGCTCTACGTCCATATTTTGCAACGCCGCTAGTTTATGATAATCAATGTCGGTTTGGATGAGAGCGTTAATCATCGTTCTTGATAATGCATCTGCTACTTCGTTAGCATGACCTTTAATATATTGTATGTCAGAAGTAAATTGGGAAATAAACTCCAATTGTCGAATTTCCCTCGGCGAATAGTTGTCGTGCTTGGCGTTTAATGCTTTCGTGAGGGGTTTATGATCTGTGTACACTGTGAAAATGGTACCCTCAAGCATATGTCGAAAGTGCTTTATTGTCAAATAAATTGCAAGCAGTTCTCTTCCAAACGTGCTGTATCTCGTTTGCGTGGGACTTAATCTTTTAGAAAAGAATGAAATCGGTTCCCATGTGTCGTTTACGAACTGCTGTAACACGGCTCCAACAGCGATGTTCGACGCGTCAGTCATGACGGCTAATGGAGCTTCGTTTTTTCGTCGTACCAATATTGTCTTTTCATTTAGCACGCGTTTAGCGTTCTCGAATGCCTCTATGGCGTCGGGTGACAAGTGAAATGTTCGGGCACGTCCACGCAAAGCGTCTGTTAACGGTTGCAATATTGCCGCGCAGTTCGGAATGAATCGTCTATAGTAGTTAATTAGTCCGAGAAATCGTCGTAATTTCTTCTTTGTTTCGGGCAACGGATAGTCACGAATAGCTGCAACTTCTGATGGGACTGGTGTGATACCTTGAGAATTTATTATGTGTCCTAGAAATTGCAGTGATTTCTTACCAAATTCACATTTCTTAACGTTGATGGCAATCCCGTGTTCTTGAAGTTTATTGAACAACTGTCTTAGTTGTTGTAGATGTTGTTCCGGTGTGGCACTAGCTACAAGTATATCGTCGATGTACACATATACGCCTGACAAACCTCTAACAACCTGGTCGATGAATCTCTGGAAGGTTTGTGCGGCATTAGTTAATCCGAACGGCATTCGCAAAAATTCGAATAATCCGAATGGAGTGATTACAGCCGTTTTCGGTATATCCTCATGCGCCACGGGAATATGGTAATAAGCCCTAACGAGGTCAATTTTCGAAAAGATAGTGGCGCCTTCCATATTGTTAGTCATGTCGTGGATATGTGGCACTGGATATCTATCTGCCACAGTTTGTTTATTGAGTGCTCGGTAATCTCCACATGGTCTGTACTCTCCGTTCTTTTTTAGTACCATGTGTAACGGAGATGCCCATGGGCTACTAGATGGCCGTATTATGCCAAGTTTCATCATTTTGTCAAATTCTTGTTTCGCAACGTTTAACCTTTTCGGGTCCAGGCGTCGTGGTCTCGCGTTACAAGGTGCACCTTTCGTTGCAATATAATGTTGCACCGTATGTTTGAGATCGGTATTATCGTAAGACACTTTTGTCAGGTCAGCGTATTCGTTTAGTAGCGATTTATATGGATCGTTTTTGTCTCCTGACACTACTAAATTCATAGATTCGTGATCAGTGATTATTCCTCTTATCACTACCGTACGGTTTGTGTTCAAGAGCTGGTTTCGTCGCGAATCTACTAATAAGTCGAAATTCTTTAAGAAATCAATACCGATTATAGGTACGGATACGTCTGCTATCACAAATTCCCATCGAAGTGAAATGTTTCGACCGAAATCTAAAGTTATTTTTCGCTTTCCGTATGTTTTTATGTCGGATCTGTTTGCTGCTTTCAAAGTAAGCGCCGTATTAACATTTCGTCGTTCATTACTAACGGGTGGCACAACACTTATTTCTGCTCCTGTGTCGACTAAGAATTGAGCACCAGTTGTCTTGTCCTGGACGTAAAATAGACGACTGTTTTTGGGAGCTACGCCAGTTGTTACAGCAGTTACCGACGATCGACGGGATCGTTTCCCTATTGTATTAGCTTTAAATGTGCATGGCAGTCTACATTTCCGAGCTCTTCTGCCGTACGTCTGGTGATACCAACATATCGTGGGAGCAGATCGTTCCCTAGAGCGTGATCGGTTTCTGTCACTCGAAATAATTCGTGACCATCTTTGTGGTCTGTCGTTTCGCGTCAGGTTCGTCAGCTTTTGGCGTAAAATACGAATCATTTTTTTTAACTCTTCGATTTCACCATTTATTGGTGTGTGGTGTACCTGTGGATTCGGTGTTTCCGTTCTTTCGTAAATTCTGTCGGCAACACTAAATGGAGGAATAGCAATATTAAGGGACCTCACGGACGCCACTTGTGGCAGACTTGTTTCGTTAACTGAAGACATGTTAATGTACAATTTATAGTACGCGAATAAATTAAAAAAAATAAGGGGATGAAATTAGATGGACGATAATAATGTTAACAACAATTAATAAAAGGTTATGACACGGAACAGACTTACTAAAATGCAGCAGTAAAACAGTTTTATGTATAATGACGTAATTCGTAATTGTTAATATTTTGAAAATATGTCAAATAATGTTTATGAAATAATTGTCATGCAATAACGATATGATAATGATAATAATCCAAAATGTTAATTTAATCCACAATAGTAATTCGTATCGAAATAGTGATTGTCAGTGATATTGCGGACGCGTTCGATTTGTGGTCGTAGTTTTTGGTCTGTCGTCGATATCAGAAAATTATTCCTGGGAGCGTCGTGGTTACCAATTTTGTTGGAAGCGTCGATTTTTTGTCAGTATCCGTAAATATCCTGAGAACGTCGGGATTACCAGTTGAGGTGTGCCGGCTTAATGCGTGTTCTTACGTTTCGTAATAAGCTCGTTCAGACTACCTTATCCAATTGACGTCTGACGGTTAATAAATCAGAAGATGAATTCCGAGTAGCGTATACGTTTATTGAAGCACACCACAATTAATAACAGCAGACCACAGACAGACCGGGCAGACAGACTAGTGAGCGAATATGCGAATATGCGAATGTGCAAATGTGCGAATGAATTAATAAGATAAAAATGTTCGTATATATACAAAGGAAAATGTCTGAGTCATCGTGGTATTTAAGAGATTAATACTAAAGCGAATAGGATGCATATATGCGTAGGCGTTAAGCAATGCTCAGTCATACTAGCTCATACAAACCAGATAATAAAAAATACCAATTGTACATATAAGTTGTTGCAATACAAATGGCTTGGTTAAATAAATTAATTGAAAGGGCTTAACCAAGTTAGATGTGAGAGAAGTGAAATATATGTGGAGGCACTACAGTCTATCAATTTATGATGTGAGTATACTTTTTTCCTTATCAAAATTCTTCACGACTTTATCAGTTTAAGCTAATCTCTCTGAAAATTATCAACATAGATAGATGATGTGTAACACATTTCATGCTGTTTGGGACCTGTAAATCAGACCAGGCCAAACATTTGTAAAAAGGGACACCTAAATACATTCTGCACTATACAAGTGATTGAATTTTCACTTATACTGGAATACAGCACAACTGTCCAAACCTAGGCAGCTGATCTGCTTAGGGAATCGTTCCCCGAGCAATAAACCTACAGGTTTAATCCACTACTCCGCCAGTAGAACCTTCGGGGCTACTGCCGGTCCCAAGCCCGGGTAAAGGAGGAGGGTTGGACATGGGGTTGGCGACCCCATTCCGTCAAAAACTAACTTGCCAAAAAAACGCTAACCAGAAAAAATAATTCAAACCATTTTAACTCTAAATAGGTGGGTGGAGCACTTTAAGGAACTTCTGAATCGACCAGCTCCTCTGAAGACACCCAACATCGAAGCAGCATCCAAGGACCTCCCAATTAATATTGACGCACCTACGATTGAGGAGATCAGTATGGCCATCAGACAAATCAAGAACGGCAAAGCAGCAGGACCAGACAACATTCCAGCAGAGGCAATGAAAGCAGATGTAGAAGCAACCGCGAAAATATTTCACATCCTCTTCAAGAAGATTTGGGATGAGGAACAAGTACCATCAGACTGGAAGGAAGGATACCTGATCAAAATACCAAAGAAAGGCGATCTCAGCAAGTGAGAGAACTACAGAGGCATCACTCTTCTTTCAATACCAGGCAAAGTTTTCAACAGGGTATTGTTAAACAGAATGAAGGACTTCGTAGACGCCCAACTTCGAGATCAACAGGCCGGATTTCGTAAGGATCGATCGTGTACTGACCAAATTGCTACATTACGGATCATTGTGGAACAATCAACTGAATGGAACTCACCACTCTACATCAACTTCATCGACTACGAGAAAGCATTCGATAGCGTGGATAGGAAAACACTGTGGAGGCTTCTTCGACACTACGGTGTGCCTGAGAAAATAGTTAAGATCATACGGAACTCTTATGATGGATTCAACTGCAAAATCGTGCACGGAGGACAGCTAACCGACTCTTTCGAGGTAAAGACCGGTGTCAGGCAAGGTTGCTTACTCTCACCCTTTCTCTTTTTCCTGGTCATCGACTGGATTATGAAAACGTCAACATCTGGAGGGAAGCACGGTATCAACTGGACAGTTAGGACGCAGCTGGACGATCTGGACTTCGCAGATGATCTGGCTCTTCTATCGCACACTCAACAACAAATGCAAGAGAAGACGACGAGTGTAGCAGCAGCCTCTGCAGCAGTAGGTCTCAACATACATAAAGGAAAGAGCAAAATTCTCCGATGCAACACAACATGCACCAATCAAATCACTCTTGATGGAGATGCCTTGGAGGACATTAACACCTTTACATATCTGGGCAGCATCATCGACGAGAAAGGTGGATCCGATGCAGATGTGAGGGCACGGATTGGCAAAGCAAGGGCTGCATTTCTACAGTTGAAAAATATCTGGAACTCCAAACAGATATCAATCAACACCAAAATAAGGATTTTCAATACAAATGTCAAGACAGTTCTACTGTATGGAGCGGAAACATGGAGAACTACCAAAGCCATCATCCAGAAGATACAAGTGTTTATTAACAGCTGTCTACGTAAAATACTTCGTATTCGTTGGCCAGACACCATCAGCAACAACGAACTGTGGGAGAGAACAAGTCAGATTCCAGTGGAGGAGGAAATCAGGAAGAAGCGTTGGAAGTGGATAGGACACACTCTACGAAAAGCACCTAACTGCCTCACGAGACAAGCCCTCACATGGAACCCTCAAGGCAAAAGGAAAAGAGGAAGGCCAAAGAATACATTACGCCGTGAAATAGAGAAAGATATGAGAGGAATGAACAAACATTGGACAGAACTGGAGAGGGAAGCCCAGGACAGAGTTGGTTGGAGAAAACTGGTGGGCGGCCTATGCTCCATTGGGGGTAACAGGCGAAAGTAAGTAAGTAAGTAAGACTCGAGTATTATTGGTTTACTGGAATCAGAGTTCTCCAACTCCTATAGGTGGAACCGCTGTACTTGCCGAACCGATTCACGCTCTTGTCGGATATTTGCTTTTATGCCTCTGAAGTTCATTGACAACAACCTTAACACCAAAAGGCAGTGACTATATCATATGGATGGCGATCGAATCGACTTGTATCTCAATCAAATATCTAGGTATTCTAATTATCTAATCAATGTTTTGATATCCAAACTATGAAACAGCAAACTTGGTTTGTTTGAATTACATGATTTTTTCGTAGTGTAAGTTAGAAGACGAAAACAAATAAGAACAAAACTATGTCACAGCGACCTAAATGTGGTCGGTAGAAAAAGCGATTACAACAACCATGGAATCTGCAAGTACATCGTTGTAATCGAACGGAGATCTACATGACAGCATCAGCTTATGCTATTGCAACTAATGACCTTGGTTGTGTCGAGTTCAGTCAATTTTGCCATTTTTATATGACCGATCATGTATTCAATAACCTTTTTATATGATTAATGAACTTACCACATATCTGTAGCAAATGTCACAGGATCAAAGTTAATAATTTCCGGTGCTAAAAAAGGCAAGCGAAGAGAAATGATTGGAGTAAAAATAATCTCATAGAATAAATAAATAGTTAGTTAGTTGACAAATAATTTATTTATTAAATTCATACTCATAATGAGGAAGTTAAAATTTCCGCTTAAATCAAAGGGAAGTAATTTTATTTATTGATGTTACACAAGCCAAAGTGTGATGCATACACACTTGAGCAGTATACAGAGCAATTACTTGAATTGTCAGAGCAACTAATACTGTACTCTAATCGTCAAAAGTGAAGTGAAATTCGAATCTACCGAACGAAATGTGAATGCCTGATTCCCCATAAGTTACCATTCATTGCATAATAGTACGTTTTGTTAGTAATTTATATCAACAGTTGTAAGCTTTAAATGATTGATGACGAACCGAAGCAAACAATTCTTGGTTATGAGTACAAGAAAAACTGAACATCATGTATCTTATCATCGGAAGGTACAGAACTGATGTTTGTAGTGCAAAACAAAATTCAACAGAATTAGTTAGACTAATGCAGATGCATTTACACTTGTGTTCATATTGCATGCAAGAACCGTGATCAGCGGTTGTAAATGTTGACGTAACATGGCTCAAGATAGTTCATAATAACGTCAATGCAATATCATTAGATGGGGTAGTAGGGATTGTTCATTTACTTTGAAATCATGAACTTGGAAGCACTGGACGACCGTTTCTTCCCAGTATGGGACTCATCAGCTATGTGCATCCACGACTCCTGCTCAAGCCCAGTCTAGCGCGCGAACGCTTAACCTATGGAGCACTGAACCGGTGGTCAAATGCATGCATTCATTCAATGACTTCATTTTGTTATTTCGTACGTTTAAGAATCTGCAAAATTAATCCTTTTCTTTCCTAATCATGTTATCTATGCCGAATGTTCTTTTTAATGCCATCGACATTTATTAATTTTTCTCTCAACATTTATATTCACTGTAATATTTTGCTACTTTGCTGTGCTGCTTTCTTTAATGTCGAAATATGGACCGATGCAGTTATCTGCCAAGTTCCAACCTGATTGTCTCATTGATTATTGACTGACTAATCAAAGTTCTTGTAAATTTTGAATTTTATAGGATGTTTATATGAATTCCAGTCACTGATTACGTATACTTTCTGTGAAAAAATTCATTCCCTATGTGTTTAATTTTCACTAAGACTATGATGAATTCGATACTTTTTGCTTCTCATCTTGTTGATTCACTTATTTACCATCAATGCGTTCCTGCGAGTAGCACTCTCTTCCTGTGGTTTATTACGCCAACTGATTAAAAATCTATGTGCCTGTCATAGAGTGGTGGATTCTACACACAAAAGGACATATAGGTAAGTAGTATGCAGCGGAGCTTCGCATAAAAGCTGTTGTCAGAGAGAGGAGTATATTTCCTAAACTAAAAGTGTCTTCTCCAAATAAACATCGATTCCGGCTAGTCTTGGCTTCTGCATATGTTAGTTACACAATGATCAGATGTCTATATGATTTTCTTCAACTATAACAACAACAACAACAACGTGCATTTCGCATTGATTCAAATCATCTCGATCAAATTTAAATTCATTTTATCAATTAAAAATTCAATAATATTTATCCATGTCAACCTAGAAAATGCGGGTGTTTTGAATAAATCATTTTGACTCCGTTACACATTTACTACTAATAGTAAATAGTAGAAGACCAAACAAACGGAAATTTGATCAAAACTTGATGAGACAAAGATCAATGGTAAATGACTATGGTTCTTTTCATCGACCTGAGAATCATTCATTAATATTACATAATATGTCATCGATAAGTTATATAGATAGAGGTATATAAAGTTTCACATTACGTCATTCATCGATTATCGATGGATGAAACTTGATTGCAGTAAAGTTGAAAAATAACAAACACACATGGTGTGTGATAAAATAGTATGGTTTCCCTTTTTACAGATAATCAGTACACGAAAGATAAACAAATCGGATAGGCTAGTCGATTTTTCGACAAACAACTTCTAATCATCTTTTTCTTTTGTAGCATTTTCTCTGTTAATCTATCGTGTAAGAGAGCCTAGTCTGTTGATAGTTGGGGTGTTGCCGTTTGATAAAAGTCTAACTCAAGGCCTATGTACATGAAATCGTCTACATGAACAGTTCGTGAATAAGTTGATTTCATTGACTGTTTGAGAAATGAGGGCAGGTGTCATTTCCTGGTTGGTTGCAACGTGGAAGAGTATTCCTACTTAAGGGATCTGAAATTGTAGATGGTTTGGTGTTTGGTGTAAGCCAGATGAGCGCATGACTGCAGAGCCCAAGGAACAACTGCCTGAGGTCAGTTGCATACGGCTTTACAAGCTACGTTTCTAAAGTATTAGCTCCGCTTTTCAAAAGCCCTTACCACCGGAGACAGAAATCTGTATAGTTAAATGATGTGTGACATTTCTACGGCCGACCATTTCTAACTCTTTCCTTCCGTTGTGAGTAGGCAGCACTGCTGCAAATACTGGTTGTATGAGGAAAACAACTTGCTTCTTTAACCCCTCCCAATGGTCAAGCAGTATGACTTTGTCCTCAGACCTTAGGTTGTTGCTTTCAGTCATAACGATCCTCAACCGAATCGGTTGACTTAAATACTGCGATAGTATCAACATCTCCTACACAACTGAAGTATGCTTTAGAGCTAGGTATGTAAATCTTAACTTGTCATACAAAGAAATTAAACATTCATCAAGTTTGAACAATAAAGGATTAGTCAAAGAGGACTAACTAGTTACTAGTTCACTTCCACCTTCGCTGATAAATTACTCTTTACCATGTGGCTATTACTTTTGATTCTTTTGGCAATAGTTTGCAATTTGTTAGTGTAAAGAAAACGTTATTAAAAGTCACACAACTTTCGACTAGAAATCTCATAATTGTAGTATTTGAGCACTCAGAATTGAAAAATTTTTGCATAAAAACACATCATAATCAGATTTACAAACTTCTAAAAGACTAAACAACTCATTCGAGTCAATCAATCAGTCATAATCAACACTAGACTTAAAAGAAACTTTCATGTACCCAAGTTTCCATTTCAAATCAATGAGACAAGATAAAATATATTAGCACTGTTGATGACAGTTGAAGAAGATTACACATTGAGAAATGTAAATTTAGAAAAAAAAAGTGAATGAACATTACAAGAACCAATTAAAACTCAGAATTGAAGTACAGATTATTAAATAGGAATACATCTGTTTGATTGAACTCGATTTTTCACTATGCCATCTAACCTCTTCACAACCATCAATCATCATCAGTCTCCACAAACAATATAATCCGACAGACTATACCTACACTATCACATAATTTAGACTAAACACGCCAGTGACTTCATAAATAGGTCTGTTCAACTATGTCTATAGCTTAGCTTTTTTCCCAGAACTCTTCTACACTAACTCTAAATATCCCCAGTAAAAACTAATGAAAAAAACTAAGAAAAATGAAAAGTCCTTTCAATTCACAGCGTATTTTCTTCGAAGAAAATTAATTAAATTGAGAGAGAAAAATATATTGATACGAGAAATTTTTCACTGACTACTACTTATTACTCTTCACAGTTATTTTTATTTAAAAGGAGCCACTCATGATTCACTAAGACACTAAACACAGCCAAAAAGAGCACAGTACACTTAAGAGGCAGCTTCTTTTTGTTGTTGTTCAATAACAAACATTTATTTGTTTCAATATTTCAATGTTTTTTTTATTTAAATACACTTGGTGTATCAGGTTCTTTCTATTATGGTTGTTTCATGTTTCAATTGTTTAGCTGTGTTTGGTTTCAAATATCAATGATAACCAATACACCTCTACATTATCGATCGGAGATTCAATTGATCAGACGAATAAAATGCACACAACATGTTCGTTCAATGCATTCTGATACTGGTGAATGAGGTTGACGAAAATTTTCACATGAAAACGATTATACGTGTGAGTGTGTGTTTTCTATTTTTGGTTTTTTTTTCAAAGCGAGATAATTTATCGTGAATAAAATCTAATGATAAAATAAAGATATAAGAGGACAGTAAGCAATGAATGACCAGACTCGATCAATCTTGTTAAGTACAAACAAGTTCTGGTGACCAGTGAACTCTAATTATAATGCCGACGAATGTGAGGCGATCGATTACGTACGAGTGATAGATATACTGGAGAAATGTCATGAAATGATCGAAGTTGGGGACATGTAAGTCATTGGATATCAATTTGGAAATGATCTAAAGTTTGAGTGTTCAATCGCTCGCTGAGGTAATGGATTGGAATTGCTGAAGAATTTCTTAGTAGAACAAAACATCGATTCGATATTTCCGAGTTTTCGATGAGTGGCTATCTGAGAACCACGGCACACAAGTCAAATTGTCATGCCGTATTAGCACAGAGAGGTCAAATCAAATCCCACAGATTAAAACCTAATGAAAAACATTTCTGAATATTTGAAATTCATTCAATTCAGAAAATCCGTTCACGAGAATCTGAAAACTAAGGTGATTGACATATTAGATAAGTCCCGCATGTCAAACCACCGACAGTTAACATAGAAATAAGCTGAACAAAAGCCAAGAGGAGTTTAAGAAACATGTAGTATCAATGCATAGAATGACTGACTATTCGGTTGACTTCACGGAAGTAATCTGTTTAAGCAGAGTATGTGACATTATCAATGATTGGAAAGTTGAAATGGTATGCACCAAAAATCGATTGTATTCACACAAACATATGAAATTCATGTTTAGTTTAACTCTCCACAGACAATTTCATTAATTCAATTCATTTGCTATTCACGTTATTAATTCTATTTTGATAAAAACAGGTGACAAATGTGTTCACTACCCAACTGCATTACGAAGTAGGCCCTAACTTGGAATCTTCAAATCAAAGGGAAAGAGGTGGACCAAAGAACACACTATGCGACATCAAAAGATTGAATAACACCTGGGAACAATCAGAAAGAAGGGCCTATGATAGAGTTGATCGAAGAATCCTTGGCTCCAGCCTATGCTTCATGAGGGGTAACAGACGTAAGTAAGTAGGTAGCAATTTCTATTAACTAGTAAGTGTTAATTGTGAAATTTTTTGTTTGACTGAACAATTGGACTGTCAAATAATTCCATTGATCAGATTTATCTTAAAGAGAAGATCAAAGACCAAACGATTGGTCGGTGGTTGTAAGCAATTGATGCGAGAACCCAACTAACTAAAATGAATTCATGTTATTCTGCATCAATCCATCTTTGTCTTTTGCTCTCCACTCAAGATAACCAGAGGAACTGTGGGTATGTGAAATTTAAGATTTCTCTTATTTTAGAAATAGTAATAACAATAATAATAATCAGTCAATTTTATCTATCAAGTGTATACATTAAAAAATTCAATGTAACAGAGATAACACTCACACACGCACACACACATGCACATACACACATGGAATTGTTACTTTGATCATAATTTAAATATTCTGAATAAATGTAAACAAGGAAAGCAAAAAAAATATGAAAAAGTAGATAAAAAAAGTTCTAATTGATTAATTGAAATTGGACAAGTGAACCTTGAAATAAGGTCATTCTTGTTTTAAATGTCACATAGAAAAGCCATACATACAGGCATACATACGGATATGTAAAATCATTACCTCAAACTTATGAGAAATATAGGACAAGCTTAAAATGAAACGATAACCTATGATTTAACAGAAAGAAAAAAAGTATGTAAAACCTTAGATCATGTCCACAATGGAACTCGAGTCCGGGATACTGCTTCGCTTTCAATGCTCCATGGACTGACTACTTGCTAAACTAAGGAGTTTAAATAACCGTTGATTTGTTACATGGATTTAATGCTGATAAAATGATAAAAAAACACAAGCATTGATACAAAAAGACACCGAAATGTTTATGCACCATACAAATTATTGAATTTTCAGTTGGTCTGGATATACTGCCCAACTGTCCAAATTGAGGCAACTGATCTGCACAGGGAATCATTCCCCTTCAGCGTTTAATCAAATCGAATATTTTAAAAGTACTCATAGTTTGAGAAAAAAGGCCTTAAGCAATGCTACTTATGTTACTGAAATTAATCAAATTTGAAGAATTGTAGAAGAGAAATGCCCTAGGGTGGTGAATGTTACTCATAAGACGGCATATAAGTCTCATACACACAGGAACGTGGATTCAAATTTCATGCCTCAGAAAGAGAGGAAGGAGACTCTGGAGATCAAAATGCATGGCCTAATCAGAGTATCTGAGAAGAAAAGACAGTCAAAAATACAGGCCTTGATTTTAAACCAATGATGCACATGGGTTCCATGATGGGTCGTCAGGAAAGAAGTGGTGAATGAACATATTGTTGGTCACCGACTGTCATACAACCGCATCTCCTAATATTGTTTCACTTTCTAGTGGATTAAACCTGTAGGTTTATTGCTCGTGGAATGAACCCCTAAGCAGACTAGCTGCCTGGGTTTGGACAGTTGGGCAGTATTCCAGACTAAGTGAAGATTCAATAATTTGTATAGTGCATAGGTATTTAGGTGTCTCTTTTTACCAATGTTTGGCCTGGTCTGATTGACAAGTCCCAAACAGCACAAAATATGTTACACAACATCTATCTATGCTGATAATGTTCAGAGAGATTAGCTTAAACTGATAAAGTCGTGAAGAATTTTGATAAGGAAAAAAGTATACTCACATCATAAATTGATAGACTACTACTGATGTATGACACCATAATCATCTATATAACAAAAAAGGCATTGATTAGATCACCCAGAAACAAAAAATCAAAGTTGAATGATTAAAATATAATCTAGTTCAAGGAGAAGAATACAACAACAGCACTAAAAGTATTAAAGATTTTTTCGTCTTAATTAACAAAATGCTCAAATAAAATTCACACAGTATAATTGTTTAAACAATCATGAAAGTGTAGAGAGAAAAAGGACAAACATACGTACACACACATACAAACACACGACAAATGCACTACTCACCTACATAATCAGGAGTTCCTGAAAGCTCTCGATGTTGTTTACCTTCAGTCAATATAGTGGCTAAACCAAAATCTATGAAAAATACATCTGTAGATGGATACGGTTGACGTAGTAAAAGATTTTCAGCCTTTAATTAAGAAAAAAAGTAATTAATAAGTAGGAGGGTAAAATAATGATGATTACTTTATAACATTGACACTAATATTTATCAAATATGGCATAACACAGCCTTATAGTAAGTACATGAATTGTGACTGTTAAACACCACTGCTCTACACTAAATATGTCTGTATGCTAACAACAATAATAAAATCAATACCACAGATCTACGTGTATTTATTGATTCAACTGCTACTGAGGAGTAAGTCGATTACACTGAACCCACAATTTGGCAAGTTCTTCGCCTAATCTGGTTGCATGAAAGACAGATAAAGTTTATAAAAAGTTGTAAACCGACTTAGCTCTAACTGATACAGAATGTCCACCGGATTGGGTGTATAATTACTATCAGGGAAGTCCCATATATATTTACTTCTAGATCAGTTGAAATGGTTGAGATATGCATTACGAATGCATAATCATAGACTACTGCTTCGGCGAGCTATGATGCATGAGGTAGGGGTAGGTTGGAAGTCATTGACAACATAACTGAAGCATGTTAATAGATTGTAACTTTTAACCAGTCATTTAATTGTCTACATTTAATAGTTGGAAATTAATTTATTGTATCCTTGTATTATTTTGCTTAAAGTTATATACATATAGAACTTCAAACAGTTATATACAATGTATCCGTTTGATAAAGCTTACTATTTTACTTGTCAATTATCTAAACTTTACCAGCATTCGAATACAGTTGAATTACCTATCTCTTAACGTAAAGAATACTGTCTAATATAAACATTTATTATTGTAACCCATTGTACCACTGATTGTTTTACTGTACTTCTTTGTTTATCCATACCAAAAACCATTATCTTCATGATCACGTGACCCTAACATTGCTCACGTTGCCTCGCTAGTTTCGCCTGTAACATTTGTTTGGATCTTGATATTCTTTCGATATCACGAGATCACCAATAAATATACCTCTAACTCCAATCACGACTGGTCTCCTGACTTCTGGCTGTCAAGGGATTTAACTTGGTTATGTCGCCGTAAATAGCTACAATTCGATATAGATATTTGAAGTGTTGTGGAAAGCAGTTGTACTACTTATCTCTAAAAGTAAAGTATGCTGTGTAAGAATTGCATTACAACTAGTACTGTTTCATTGTAACATTACATTTAAATATCCCGAAAACAGGTTCCACGTTGCTTATGGCCAACTAAGTGTGTATCCAAGACCACAAGCAGAATTAAACTCGAAATCTTTAAAACTTCCGTATCGAGCATAAAATTAGTTTTTGGGTTGACAATTCATTCGTTGAAGTGTTTTGAAACAATTTTCTTAATCACAAAAAGGTCAAACTATACAATATTTCAAGAATAAATAAATTCTATTCATTGGGTAGAAAAAATAAATTGACTTATTCTCACAATGACCTAGAATGGAATGTGTGTACTTCCATTTCTTTATTAAATGGGATTGATAGATTTTTGATCATGTTAAGTGATAAGTAAAAAAAAAAGTAAAGAAACGAACAAACGAACGAACGAACGAACAAAATCCACATATTTTTTCAACTTCATTCTTTGTACTTTGAACAAATATGGAAAAAATTATCGATCTTATAAAAATAAAACACTGTAATTATTATGAAACATGATTATTATTATTATTATTATTTTAGTGATAACAAACATTGGAATTCAGAATAAGCACTAGACCCCTCTTATTTAGGACAAGTTAACTTTGTGCAATTCAATCTTTTCATTTATTTATTGAAGCACATAAACATCGACACAGAGGTACACCGAAATATTTATGCATCATACAAATTATTGAATGTTCACTTGGTCTGTCATACTGCTCAACTGCCCTAACCGAGGCAGCTAATCTGCTTAGTGGATCATTCCCCGAGCATTAAACCTACAGGTTTAATCCACAAGATAGTGGTCTAATGTTAAGTGATGCGGTTTCATCGCAGTTGGTGACTAACAATAGGTTCATACATCATTTATTTCTTGCACAATCATTGTTTAGCAATCAGGGTTTTCTAACTTTTCCAATTAAATCCTCCATACCCACCAATCCGGGTTTAGGCTCTGGCTGGAAATTCGCCCTTCATTCCTTCGATTTAGTAAACAACATACCGGTGATGAGAAGGCAGTGAATAGGACTTCTTTGACAGTGGCTATACATGCAAGGCAATATATGAGAGCATTTTGAGTGGGATAACGAGCTATCCTAATCTCAGCTTTAACAAGGCATTAGGGGCCAAATTCGTCTAAATGAATTAATGAGTGATATCTTCTCCCATTTGAGTAAGACGTGTTGTGAGATTGTGATTAGTCAGCAAAATAATCAATTACCGATCAATAACTGACAAAATCTAATGTACAACAGTTAGTGAATCCACTCTATCAATAGAATAAAATTAGTCTATTAAAAAGGCACAATAAAACTACTAATAAAAAGGCTCTATATCTCAGCAAATGAATTTACAACTAGAAATAAGTAAACACGATTACTTTAGCTTTGGCCATTCTCTTTAATTCACACAATTGTCACGTCAATCAGTTTTTGCAATAAAATAAGGTGCATATAGCAAACTGAAGTATTCAATAAACATTTTGACGAAGTGTTTCGTGGAGATAGATAGTTTCCACCCCGGATTGATACAAGTTGAAGCATACTGATACCAAGAATCACTGAATAGGTTGCTTGTTTTAGTATCAGTCTTCTCACTTGTGACTATCTACAACCTTTGCCGCCGCTCTAACTAAAAACCTCTGCGTCTCACAGAGAGTATTTACTTAGTAGACTATTGAATCGGAAGCCACTATTTTACATATCTATCTTCGACCGATTCACGATATCACTTAAAATCATCTGACCCTACCGCTAATAACTGTGGAGTCAAAACAAGATTATATATTCGTTGAAAACATGAAATATATCCTAGTTATTATCAAAGCTATAGGCATTTACAACTAACATAACTGTCTTTTCAAATGTTCTTTCGAACCTACCTTGACATCTAGGTGGACCATTTTAAGTACGTCATGCATGTAGACCAAAGCTTCAAGAATGCCAATTAACAGCTGACGTACATACGACTCAGGCAATCCATAAAATGATTCAGGATTTCCCAACTGTGGGACTGTTGTGTGTGAATCAGAAATACTAGAATCAGGGATGAACGAATCACCACAAGCAGAACTGCTGGAACTAACAGTAAAGTCATACGGATAAGCTGATTCACACAAATTGTACAACGACCCACCATTGGCACTTTAAAAGAAAATGAATATTTATAGTACATACACAGGAAAAATGTAATATTTAAATGTAAATTCGAAAACAAAACAAACTCTGATTATTGTGACTCAACACTTAGATAGTAGTCTACTGATTAGCTGAATCGACCCATCGATCCATAAATCTATATTCACGCAATGAATTAGTGAAAACTACTGAACAGCTGTTACAAATGTAGAACTCAGAATTTCTAACTATACAAACTTTATAACTGATTCAACAGTTACTTAATTTACAATGGACGAATGAGATTCTCATTATACGTTTGATTTATGTATCCACCTAATTTACAAACTAATTTGTTGCTAATAACAAATAAATTTATGTAGCAATACTTTCGAAACGTCATATCTATTCAGTGAGTTCTATGTTCGTTGGAACACTAATTTGACGAAACCAGTCACCACATTTTCATGCAAGTAAAAATTTAATGACCATGACCACCAATGTACTCACTAGTGACTAGCTTAATGATCCGACTCTCGGAGTCCAAGTAACAAGACGTGACCAGTGGAGTCCAACCCTGTCGGATATAGGCAGTAAATACCGATTAAAAATGGTTGAGGTTCCGCAACATCGCTAGGTTGATCATAGTTAGACATTAACAACATTGGATACCGGCAAATGGTCCAGAGGTTAGACGTTCGCTCATAAGACCAGGAGTCCTGTGTTCGGATCCTGCGATTAGCATTAGTCGTGGACACGCTCTACTGATGAGTTCCGTAACAGGACGAAACTGCTGTCTAGTGCTTCTAGGTTTCTGATGGTGGTCTAATAATGATTGATTCATGGTTTTTATACGTAGAAACATTTATTCATGACAAAAACTTACTACTCCATGACAATGGCAACTTCCATTGAGTCTTTATAAACTGCAAATAGTTTAGGTGAGGCTGATTTGGGAGGAGCTCTTTTACAAGGTGCAGAAGGCATTTCAGATGAGTTCAAACACGTATTCAAAGGATCCCTTTGCAAAATGGCCATAGCTTCTACTTCAGAGGTAATTTTTGCAATAGTGTCCTTTCCTCTGCGAAATCTGCGAATCACCTTGCAGGCTAAGTATTCTCCGGGCTCAATATATGCACCTTTTGAATACATTGCTGTGGTGAATTCGGATTTTGTCGCTGTTAAAGGATCCAGTAGCTCCGCGTTGTTAGTAGTAACTCTGTAAACTTTCCCAGCATACCCACTACACAAAGTGTCAGTTCAAAATTTAACATACCGTCCAATAGGATCACCATCAATTTTGTACAAGTTTTTCCAAGAATGGTGTGGTGTGTTTGATACCTCACAAGCACCCAGCTCATTATATTTTAGACGGGAATTGTGTCCTGAGTACATTGTAGTAGAACTAATTCATCACATAAAAGTTCTGTGATTAAAAACCAGGTCCGATAAATATGTGAAGCTAAAAATAAACAACCAATACAGCGAATAAAAATATCTTTCGGTCTTCAGTAGAAACGATTTGATTCTGACCGAATTGGTCTCGTGTGATTTTATGGATACAAAGGCGGATGTTACTTCACGGGTGCCCACACCGCGGAATGGCTGTAATTGTCAGAAGGGGCGTCGGCCTCATGACTTTCAAAGGAACTTGGCTTTCAGCATGAGACGTTATAACTGTTCTAAATGAAGACCTTCTAACTTCCAGAGCAGAGTTTAAATGGTTTGAATTATTTCTTCTTGTTAGCTCTTTTTAGCGAATTAGTTCTTTGTGGGATGGGGTAGCCGACACTGGCCTAACCTATGTAATTCTTTATCACCTTTATCTTTTTCTTTATAATTTATTTTCACTAGATTCTCTTTCTTGAATGATATCGTCGTACTCTCTTCTCTCCCATGACTGATAATACTACTACTACCTCTACTACTATGGGATTTGAAGTGACAGTTGCATCTGTGCTAACATGGTATGATAACTTGAACTAATGTACGTACGTACGAAGTTCTACGTTGTTGTTGACTGACTGACTCTGTCTTCAGAAGCAAGGATTGGACGTTCGTCGGCCCATATTAGTCCTTGCAATTCATAGTACTGTGCGGATCCGATCTCACTCTGATTGATTCAACAGAATGTGCTGATATTACATATTTTAGGAGAGAAGATCAATCATTCTAACGATCATCTAGCCACTATGGGTGGTATGGAAAAGCATCGCACAAAACTGAGGGTGTGCTACAAGTGTTTGAAGCTTAGCAGACATACTGGCGGAGCTTAAAAACGCAGGGGTCGTAGAAAACTGTGATATCATTTTTTTGTTTGATAAACATGGTTAGAATCATAATTGTATGATAGTGCAATTCAAATGCTTTGTTCCTTACTTTTCAGGGTCGAAAGACTAAAACATAAGGATGAGGTCATCCTGTACTTAAAATGCACCTGATTCTCACGAGCTGTCGAGACAGTAACACACGACGAAGGCACATGTGAACTTGTGCGCTGCCTATTGTAATACAAAGGGCCAGACACTGAGTTAGGTTTTTTTAACGCACTCTAGAACTAGCTTGAATCCTGGTCGAACAAGTGTAAAAGCCTTACGATATATGAATTTAATTCACTTCTTCCTATAAACCGGAAAACTTTAGAAGTAGAGTCATCAAGCATACTGTTTGATTAGAAGCTGTTAGGAATCTCAATAACGCTAGCTTTGTCCCAGCACATTAAAGATCCCACCGGATTTGACATTCAAAGCTTAATATATTGGACCTGGTCATCACGCACAATAATGTCAATTTTTAAGCCCCTTTCTACGTAAACCGGGGATTTCTTGGTAGTCTGAAGACGAAAAGTAACAGCAAATTCTCAACGCTCCTCCTGGAAAGCAAAAATCGGTTCTAGGCCCTTTACTATTAAGACTATACAAGAATGAACTCCCAAGTGTCGTTAAGTTATTGATGCTACTTTATGCTGATGACGTGAAAATTCGGTAAAAAATGGAGACAAATGCAGAGACAAGTGCACTTCAAGCTGACTAAGACGTTCTGGTCAACTTGTCTAAGACATGGCCGATGCCTATTAACGCAGCCAAGGGCGCTAACATTCACTTTAGGGATATAGAGGCTAATAGGTACAGCAACAGGAAAGAGTCAATGCTTGTAGTTCAGTCTCATAATGATCCTGAGGTATTGTTAAACCGACTAAGGCCACAACTCACTGCCGTACGGTTACAGCTGAGAAGTCCAGAACCTTAGGAGCTTTAAAACGGATAGTTACCCAGTTTGGTTACATTATATTCGAAACATTGTATAAAACCTTATTGTGATCTAAAATTGAAAGTTTTTTCTAAGGCTGTGGGCCTCTTTTTAAAAGGCGACTCCGATATCTTAGAAAAAATACGGAGGTCAGCTACCCATGCAATTCCAGAACTCCGAAGGAGATAAAAAAGTTAGAACTATTTACTCTGTCCTACAATATATAAAACGTTACATGATTTTGATGTATAGAATACTAATGACTGTTTATCGGCCTGAAAAATCCTCTTTCCACCTACTAGATCAAAACAACGTAGGAGACATAGTAGGAGAGCAAAAAGCCGATAAACAAACAAAGTAGAAATAGAATACAGGTTCTGACACTGTAATCAACTACTAAAACATGTTATTCGGAAGTATGATGTTATTAGCTGAATCATGAGGTTACTTAACACTCCATAATTTACTAGAAAAGTTCCAAAGCGTGCTGGAATTACTAATGTACTCGACTCATACGAATCAGAATCCAGTACTAGATACGAGAGACCTAACTCTACTAAACAATGTGACTTCATTCGAAGGTATAGAGCGACAGGCGTATCAACTTTTATGGGTTTCAGTAATTTGTAAATTCACGAAATACAATTTCCTGCCGAGTAACATTTGATAACAATACAGCTTAACCAAAAATACCGAGGTGAAAATTCGAGACAAGTCATAAGAAACTGATGAAACTTGGTAACACCTACCAAAATGCAACCTTGAATATCCTAATATGAGATTCTTAGCGCATCTACATACCTGGTATCCAAGTAATTACACCAAGCGCTGGTATCAAGAGTTGATGAATAGTGGATAATTTAAACGAAATTCGGTTTCAGTCTCCAAGGCTAGAAGCAGTATATCTATTGATTTCAGTTTTATTGCTGTGTGTTTTAAAGCTGTCTTTGAATTTATTTCTCCGTAAACCATTTATCCTTTACTCTGACCGAGTAATCCAGTAGCTAACCCCCCCATTGAGTTAAACAGAATCTATAAATTTGCTTATTCGATCATCATTATCGGACCGTTTTTGACGGCATGTAATAAGACCACTCCTACTTGTAAACTGCTAATATGTAATCGATTGACACAAATACTGACCGAAATAACTTATAATTGGTTTTACTTGAGGTAACTATCTGGAAAGTGTTTTAAAGCGAGATAAAAAAAATAGTTGAATTAAACAGTAATGACGTCCCAGTCTTTTCTAGTAAGGTGTATTCAGGACGGCTGAGGATCCTTAAGGCCATCAGGGAACAAGATATCCAGACTCATCTTAGTACACTACCTCTAAGCTAATTAATTAGTCATCGGAGCAACTGTGATCTACAAGTAGTTGGAACTTGATACGGTCAGAATGTGCAATTCATCTGTCAAACAATGGAATATAATATTTTCAGGTAATACCATAGGTGATAAAGAGTTATTGTTTCTGTGTGATTCGACGTTTTTCGGAGTTAATAGATAGTTCTCCTTTTGAGAGGTTTATCCCTTATGTAAAATTTTGGGTTTGCTATAATATTTTGAAAGGTGAGAATCTATGCATTAATCGCTTTAAATCCACGATACTATTTCTTCCAAAACACTGTGAACACATTTATTACATGTGAATGTTCAAATGTTCTGCTATGAAATGATTTAAATCATCACCCAGATTCCCATTAATTTTCAATTACTTCATAGTTTATCCAGATTTTTATGTATTACACGGTTGATGATGGTGTGATGTATATATCACTTTCATGGTGTCAGAAAGCAACAAGCTTCGCTAAGTGTAAGACAACTGCATATGTCACTGATAATGATTATGAACAATAAGGACTAAAGACACTGTCAAGGATGTACTGTGATAGAAGTGTTTTCCTATTTTCACTATCCGGGTTGCTTGTTTCGGAAAAGGACGAGATCCAGTTACGTAACTCACTTGATATCCCGAGCGCCATAAAATTAGATAGTAGAGATATGTACTTTACTTTATCGAAGGCTTCGGTGAAGTCAAAGTGTAAAGTGGTAATTAGTTTTCTTTCATCTATTATGCTTATCATATGATAAAAGTATTTTAGATGACAGGTTGCACATAAATAAGTTCAGTAATAATGATCTCTTCTTGGGCCATACATACTTACATACGCTACTAGACTAATAGACTCATTCGACAAATGCGAACTTGTCACAATGTGACCACCTAGTCTAAATGATCTCACGTGGAAGCCATTTAATTGCTTCTACTGACTCGACCTGTCGTCACAGTCAGCAATATGCTTCATGAAACTTCTGAAAGAATAGAAGGACATATTCAATGTGCGAAGTAAGACTCAGTCGTAGCGTTTACCCTGATATGGTGGTCGGGATTGCTTATTGTGATGACCTCACCGAGCCATATTGGCTGGAACACATGTTCCTTTATGTTCTACGATACCAGGTAGGCCGACTGGAGAACGTTAAAGGTTGATGAAGCAACTTAAGGTCTGAGGACGAAGTAGTACTTCTGATTGTAGAGAGGTGTGATAACAGTAATGTGTTTACCCAGGACAACCAGCATCTTCCGAGATTCTGACTTCTCGTAACGAAAGAAAAGTTGGGCAACTGGAAAGTAACACTCTCCCTGATACTCGTAACTGCACACGAGGCCGAGCTAATCAGGATGAAATCCCACGTAAGTTTATTAACCCTCTTACCTCCGTGACCAAACATTCTCGTGTCCATTTATCACCCCGCACTACTAATCCAAACAATTCGAATACTCGAAACGTTATTCTTGGTTTCTTCAGATCCCGCTCTGAACAAAATTTTGAAGCTTTCTTTACACACATTGTGCCAGATAGGACAACCAGCTTCCTTAGCTAAGAGGCTAGAATCCCACACCATTGATATATGCTGCATCTGAGTTTCTGTGGCAGTATATGCCACAGAAAGGAGTATAAGAAATTTACATTAACCTTGTAAAAGCTCCGTAATCGAACACCACTGGTGTAGTAAAAGCTTATGGTGAACTGTCATCGCAATTGGTAAATTCATTCGGTGAAGTAGTGAAGCTTCATCAGTTGAGTTAATTAAGGAATGTGTTACGAACTCCCAAACACCGACTACCTAGGTGAGCAATG